GTAGTGGTCAAAAGGAAAGGGGCAAAACCAGGTTTAAGTTCTGGGTATGTTTGGCCAGGTAAGGGCCGATCATGTGAATAATTATACCTGGCTGTCCCACTCTGCTACTGCAGTTTGAACCTTTTCACTGAGCTAAGGAGTGGAACTGCCCTCGACGATCAATGGGACAGGGCAGAAGGAAGGAGTAGCAGCACTGTGTAGATAGCAAATATTTGAAAGCGAAGATTTTCAACTACAGCATAGGGAAGAGAAACAAAACTTTCATTCACATATGATGCACCCATCCGTAAATCGAAAATTTACCAATTATCCAAACAGATTTGATCCCAGCCCTCACACATACTAGAGAGGAGTTATACATTGGAAACACGTAAGAGTAGTAAGTGGCTTTCAAAAGTGGGCATGCTAGCATTCAAATCCTGGCATGTCTGAATCCAAAACCTCCATACTTTTAAAGTTTATCAAAGTAAAAACTACAAAGATACAGAAAACTCAGGTATTTGAGTTAAAAAAAAAATCCAAACTAAAACTTGATCACTTAAATGAGTCTCTACTGAACAGAAGCTTGACTGCCAAAGTTAAGAAAGGAAATCATCATTTAATATTTGCTATGTGCCAGACTTTAAGAAAACATACAGCACAGATGTATGTAGTCTGCTTTTTAGAAGATATATGTAGTCACCGAAAGAAAGCAGAAATACCCAGTACCTGAGAAAGCAAACAGTTGAAAATGTATAAAAGCCACTGGCATTATGAGCAAGTTTCCAGGTACAGACTAAGCAGCACTGTAGAAATATGAGTTACTTGGAAGCACAACTCACATCCTTTGATGAAGCAGCAACCTGGAAAAGGTTGAAGAGATGCTTCAGGAAGGAAAGGTGCGACAAAGGCAAAATCACACCTGCAGGGATGAGCAGAGCAGGAGCAATTCCACAGATCAGTTCTACTAAAGCACAGTCAAAATGCTCCTTATTGTTCCGATGCTATTATCTTCACTCTTCAAAGGTCTGCCATCCCTGTGAACTAGAAATCTGGCAATCCTTCAAGGTCACCTGCTTACATCCACCTTATCAGCAAGACCTCTCCCACTTTCCCCAGGTTCTGTGGATGCGCCCTCCTTTATACCACGTGACCGTCCTCCCTTGGTTGTGTCTACATATAATCCAACTTGGAGAGACTTCCTCAATTATTTTCTGAAGGCTGACAGTGCTTTACTCTTCTCTGACGTGCAGCTTCCCCTGGCAGTTCCTAGCTAACACTCCCTCATGCAGATATTTCTTAATGAGAATGAGAAAGTTCCAGAGTCTTCTCTTTTCTCTGACCCCAAGCAATTCAGTCTTAATATCAAACTTGTATGCAACCTACTCAACAAAAGCCTTGCAGAGAACGCTGGGCTCACTCTCCTTAGAAAGCAGCTGTGGAAGCTTGTACCTTGGGGTCTTCTCAGTAACAGCTAATTGAAGCCTGTCTTTCAACAATATGCCCTTCAGAGTGTGGAATGATAGAATCAACTTTATCAAGTTTTTCAAATTCATCTGCTTTACCAACACTGACATTTATTAAGTCTTTCTGAGTATCTGTTTCTATCTGACTCATATACTGTACTGATTTAATCTATATAATGATGTGGAAAATTATCATGATGTATATTTCTAAGCAAACATTTTGTCTGAAATACTCTCAAATATTTTACCCAGGATCAAATGAAATAAAGAAAACAGTTCTGAATATAGCAATTACTTCATAAATAGTGAATCTCCTGTGAGGATTTTTTATATGTTCAGGTGTGTCTTGCTATATTTTTCTAAATATGCTTATGTGTGCTCAGTCAGCCTACAAATTGAATTTAATATGGTATGTCTACAGAATATAGTAACGCTATTAAAATTACGACCATAAAAAATTACAAAGATATGAGAATATGGACTAGAAAGGAACATAAACAATTTTAAATTTGTAAGTGAAGATAAGGTACCTAATATCGCTTAAGTTTTTGGTTTTGAGTACCTACCACTGCAACCTATACTATATTTGAAAACACTGCAAAGGCCATAAGGTTTAATAACATAAGTCAAATCCATGAGACAAAGAAAAATTGCCAGGCTGTCTCACTTTATACTTTAATAGTCACATTTATTAAATATCACTATCTCAATGGAGCACTTCCTCATTCCTGTAATTTTATGGCTTCCTTCCAACTAATAAAGTAGAAGCAAAAACTATTTGTATGCAATCATTTAATACTTAACATTACAAATTTAGCTTACATATCCAAGTTTTGTTTTGTTTTGTTTTGTTAAGTGTGGTCCTAAATTTAGAATCCATGTGTTGGTAAATTCAGCCTTTCCCCCATCATACTATACTGTCACTGCATATTTCTTTTTGGAAATTAATCTCTTGTCGTTTTAATTGTAGCACTTGAACTTTTATGTATACCAATCTCACTATTTTTTTTTTTTCTTTTTGAAGTTGGCCTTCTAGAATGAAGCACAGAGATTCAAACAGAATTATCAACTCTCTCCAGAAAGATGTCTCCTCTTCGCATATAGCACTGGGAAATTTACCCAGAAATCATTAAACTGTAAAATAATTTATAATTATTTATTTACAGTTTTAAAAAATGTGGATTTCAAACCTGAGCATTAGCATAAGTGGAATGCATGCTTTACTTCCAGTTTTCATTGTGCAAAATGAGAGCTATTCAAATATATCCTTGCATGACAAGCAAATAAAGCCCTTACTTTACAATACAGATTTTAAACACACATTAATTTTAAATATCATTCTGAAATGATTCTAAGAATCTCATTTGTTTTATAGATTAAACTAGCAAACAAAAGTCAATACCTTCACAAACATTTCATATAGACAGAAATAAAGAATTTTAAAAACTGCCTGGTATCTTACCACATTCAAATATCCTACAACAAGCCTTCCACAATACAAATAAGGAAATTTGAGTTCTCACAAATTCATACATAGTAGACTCTCTACTCCCTATTAAGTAAATTTACTCAGTAGCAAATATACAATGGGCTTTGGTTTCACCAATTTTTTTTTGGAAGATATACTTACAGAAAAAATTGCTTTCAATTTGAAAATCAACTCATAACTCAAAAAAAACCACAAATACGGCCCTCCCTGGTGGCGCAGCAGGTTAAAGCACAGCACTGAGAAGCGAAACACACTTCCGCATGAGTTCGATTCCTGCCTGCCCCGGAGGTGACCACATGGCGCGGCAGACCTCTCCTGACCCGCCCGCTGCTCCCCTCAGCAGTGTACTTCGTCGATCTGCCTATTCTGCTCCCCACTCAGTCTCTGGTGAAGCCTCTCGCCACCCCTGAGCCTCTGGCCTGTACCCCAGTTCTGTATGCACAAATAAATAAATCTTAAAAAAAAAAAAAGCACAAATACAACCTCTATCTAAAACACTGGTGGCGCAAGGGGTTAAGACATTACTATGAAGTTATCCAGTCACTGCAGCAGAAGTTCCATGGTGTAGCAGACCTCTCCTGTCTCACCCACTGCTCCCCCTAGTAGTGTATTTCAGTAGCTCCACCAGTTCTGCTCCCCACTGTGTCGCTGGTGAATCCTCTCACATCCTGAATCTATGACCTAGACACCAACCCTTGCATGCATGAATAAATAAATCTTTAAAAAAAAAAAACCATCACAGTAAATGTGAATAGAATCTAATTATATTATATATATTACGTGTTGATCTATAATGATTTTTACAAAGGATGACAATATGAAAGAGAAATGTATGTTAAACTGCTCTGATAAAAATGGATAAGTAAACCTTAGAGACAAATAGGTAACATTACATGCTTAATTAGATCAAGCTTGAGAAATTCTAAAAAGGAAATTATCTAATATGAAAGGAAGATAGTTTACTGATTCTTTACTATTTCAAGATGATTTTTAGGCATTATATATACTACTTGATGATTTAGAAATAAGAGTATTCTACTCATGTAGTTTTTCCCATGGATTATATTTCTGCAGGTGGGTCAAGGGCTCAGTATCTTCATAATGACAGGCTATGCCATTTTCCACTTAATTGAAAACCACAAGACAGCAACAATTAGTTGGATTTAAATGAGGAGATCAAATTTTTAACAAAGCCTTTTAGGCAATACGCAACCCTCCAAATCTTTATTCTTCCCACTGCAATAAAAGGGAAATGCAATGGAAAAATGTGTTCAACAGTAGATGCCAAACTGATTCAAAATTTGCAGCTCAATGCCTGGAACTACTAAACGCGAAACAACAGTCCTGAATTGCCTATTAGTGACGATTATTCAACATATAGTTCTGTTGGCTTTTGGAATAGGTTTTCAAAGACTGTAAATGGGGGGGCAGAAAAAGTTTTGTCACTTTCTGGAAGGGCTTACCCTTTTAACGCGAAACGCTCTATTTGGGCAACTTAGCACCTTGCCCTGGTCTGACCCAATCAAGAACATCACCCCGAATAGCAGGCGGGATTTAAGGCTAGGCGCTGAAAACCAGACTAGAAGATAACCAGAATGGATCTCACCGGCTTCAACTAAAGATGATTAACACTACCAGCCTTTAACAGGGTTCAGGTGCTATTTCCTTGCTTTCTACTCTGTCCATCCATCCATTTAACAACTTAACTTTAGGATCACATCTCCAAAACTTTTTCCTCCCACCGATTACCCCCAGAAGCATCCAATAACAAAAAGGCGATCTTCTTAAGAGTCTCCCTTCTCTCTCTCTCTCTCTCTCTTTTTTTTTTTAGGAAAAAATAAATGGCCTTACCAAAAGTAAAGCCGCGCCAACTTGGAGGACAACTGGCTGTTCCCCACCTCTGCAACTGAACCCAGAGTGCGCTGAGCCAGGTTGGGCCGGGCGCGAAAGGAAGCGCACGGCTTCTCCCCCGAGTGTCTGCAGATTCGGGTCACAGCCCGGAGACCCGGAGGCTCCCCCGAGGCCCTGGAGCTTCGCGCGCCACACACCACCCGCGTACTGCTCACCTTGCTGGGCTCCAGCGTCCTCGAGCAGCAGGGGCAGGATAAGTAAGAGCAGGAGGAACAGAGGCATGGGGAAGGAGGAGGAGGAGAAGGAGGAGGAGCACTTGGAGAGGAGAGGCAGGGCGTAGGAGCCGGAGAGGGGGAGCGCGGCCCGGGCGGGGGCGGCGGCCGCGGCCCGGACTCCAGGACCTTGCCGACTGCGCCCGGCTCTCACCATCGCCCGGCTCGCCATCGCGGTGGCCGGCAGTCCGCCTGCATACTGCGGGCGCCCGGGAGCCCCGCACTCGGGCCGCCGCACCCGGCGAGGAAGCGGCGACTGCCGGAGAAGGGGAGGCAGTGCGAGCCTCGCCCCGCGCCGGGACCCCCTCCGCCCCTCACTCGGCTTTCGGTTCCTCCTCCTTCGTCCCTTCCCTCCGCTCCCCGCCCCGAGACCCCAGGCCGGAGCGCAGGGGAGGGGAGGGAAGGAAGAGGGGGGCCCGAACTGCGGCGCGCTGCTGCGGCGGAGCTTGCGGACGCGCCTCCCGCGCCGAATTTCTCCAGCAGACCCCGCTTTGCCGCGCTCGCCCGCGGCTCCGGCTAAGCTGGCTGCCAGGCCGGCCGCCCGTCGCCTCGCGCTCCCTCCTTAGCGCTCTGGCCACGCCTCCTCGGTCCGCCACGGCCAATCCCAGGTCGGATCTGGTCCGTCTCCCTCCGAGTCACCCAATCAACACGCTCTCTCTTCGGTCGACCCGTTAGTTGCCCGGCCCACTTCACAAGTTCCACCGCCCCTCATCTCTCTCCTCCAATCCCCTGTGACCTTAGGAAACGTCCCACCCGCCTTCCCCAATCCGGGGTCCGCCTGCACACTCGGGCCCCTGGCGGTCCCCGTGGGCCGCGGGCGCCTGTTATTGTTGGGACGGCTGCCCGAGCTGATCCCGCCGAGGCGGTCGCTCGCTCTGGTCCACGACTTCCGGGACTTCCCCCACCCCGCTCTCCCAGCTCCCAAGGCCCAGCTTGCTCTTCGCTCCTCCCCCGCTGCACATCAGGCCACTAAAAGGGGTGGGAAACCTGGATCCTGGATGTGTTCTATCAATAGCTGGGAGATGAGTCTAAGGACGCTTTTTTTTTTTTAAGAACAGATTTTTAAAAATTACAGTTAATTGTAACACCAACTCTGAGTTACAATAACAGACAATATTCAATTAAAAACAATGTATTATTGATTCCATTTACATTATGGGGTGGGGAGAGAAAAAATACAACATATAACAAGACCCATGCGTCCCAGGCCATTTAAACCCAACACCCTGAACATGCATGCAGGCATTTCACCCTGAACATGCACTGCTGAGCACCTGCTGTTTACTTACAAACCTATGTTAGCATTGTGGGATTTGCGGCCACATACACAAATTTCTAGGATCTAGTGCTGAAACACATGGAAACACAGCATGAAAAATAGAATAAATGAAGTGTTAAAATCAAACAATTACATGGAGTGATGGGAAGCATTGGTCTTTAGGACAGGGAATCCATAGGACTAGGCAGTGACTAGTTTTAGAGAGGAGGAGAAAGGTGCCAGCCATCCTTCTTCTTCTTCTTTTTTTTTTGATTCATATTCATTTATTTTTTAAATATTTATTTATTTATGCATACAGAACTGGGGTACAGGCCAGAGGCTAAGAAGCGGTGAGAGGATTCACCAGAGACAGAGTAGGGAGCAGAACGGGCAGATTGACGAAGTACAACTGCTGAGGGGAGCGTGGGCAAATCAGGAGAGGTCTGCCACCCATTTGGGTCACCTCCTGGCGGGGATCAAACTGACACGGAAACGGCTGCGGCCAGCTTGCAGTGCTGTATCCTAACCCATTGTGCAACCAGGGAGGGTCCCCATCCTTCTTGTTTTCAATGTGGTCCCCAAGAGAGAAGATGATATCATTCAGGAATATAGGAAAGTGGAATGGTGGAGCAGATATGTAACCAAGTGAATTAACCTTAGACATACTAAATTTGAATTGCCCACTCAGCTATTAGGTGAAGTTATATAGCAGGTAGACATTGTGATCTAAAGCTCAGATTGAAGAGTGCCTTGCGGTTACAGATGGGACTCATGAACAGAGGTAATACTGAAATCATGAAAGGGACTGACATCCACAGATGAAAATTTGAGACATGGAAAGGACTTTGTAGGTCATTTTTTTCAACATTTCTGCAGAGCCCTTCTATGCTAAACTCCATGAAATTTTTTCAATAGTCATTTAGTTCATGCCTATAAAACCCTGCTATGCTTTAAGCCTAATGTAGGCAGTGGGCAATCAAAGGGCCCTAGATTCTGGCAGAAGAGGTAAACATGCAAACAATCCATTGCTATCAGTGCTGTATTGGCATGTGGACTGGGGCCACAGAATTCAAGGACCCCGTCAAGGTGGTCATGAAACTCCAGCTAAATCTTAAATAAGACGACAAAGTAAGTAAGGTGATCTCAGGTGAGAGGCAAAGTAGGTTGGATCACAGACACCATGGTGACTAGTGTTGAAGTTGAATAGTATTTTGCTGACTTAATGGGAAGGGCTGAAGACCAATAAGAAAAGTGGATAAGTGCAAGATTTAAGATTATGGCTCAGAAATCAGGATTTTATTTTGTAATTTCTAGAAACAACTAAAGAATTTTAAGAAAGTGACATTATCATACTTTTATTTTAGAAAACTTAGACAAGAGAATTAAGAATGGATTAAAATAGCAGCAAGTACAGAGACTGATCCACTGTTTTAAAGGGTCATTAAGAGTGGAGAAATAGGCCCTCCCTGGTGGCGCAGGGGGTTAAAGCACAGCACTAAGAAGCTCGATCCCCACCTACCCCAGAGGTGACCTCATGTCACGGCAGACCTCTCCTGACCCACCCACTGCTCCCCTCAGCAGTGAATTTCATCGATCTGCCTGTTCGGCTCCCCACTCTATCTCTGGTGAATCTTCTCACCCTCTGCATCTCTGGCCTGTATCCCAGTTCTGTATGAATAAATAAATAAATCGGAGAAATAGAGAGGTAAAAAAAAAAAGCGGAGAAATAGAGAGATAAGACACTGAGATCAGTGTCAGGATTTAAGGGAGGAAGGGGCAAACTGGAATTATATTTAAAGAGGTGAAATCAAAGCTTTTGGTGACAGACATCACTTGACAAGTTCATATTCTTATGCTTCAGCTTCCTGGGTCTTGCTCTGAAAATACAGAATATGGAACTCTGGCTAGAGAAAGCGCATAGAGTCCCTACTGCTGTACGTACAAGGGAATTATAGGTATAGCCAAGGGGAGAGGGTTTATGATATTTCTGTCCCTATTTTCTTCCTATTTCTCCTTATCATTGTTACTGTACTGAATTGCAAAAATGACAGAAGTCTGTTCTGAGATCACTAAAATCTTCTTGGAGGACCTCATGCAAACAAGATAACAGTCATTAATTTCTAGAATGATGAGCTATCTTTTTTTAAAAAATTTATTTATTTATTCATACAGAACTGGGGTACAGGCCAGAGACGCGGAGGGTGAGAGGATTCACCAGAGACAGAGCAGGGAGCAGAACATGCAGATCGACGAAGTACAGTGCTGAGGGGAGCAGCGGGCGGGTCAGGAGAGGTCTGCCACACCATGTGGTCACCTCCGGGGCAGGCGGGAATTGAACTCATGCGGAAGTGGTTTAAGCTTCTCAGTGCAGTGCTCCAACCCGCTGCGCCACCAGGGAGGGCCCTGAGCTATCTTTTTTTTACTTCCTGCATGCTGCTCTAGCCAACTTAGTCATCTTTCTTACCTCTGGAACATTTTGTGTTTGAATGTTCACATCTGCTGAAGCAATGCTAAAGTAACTGTCCAGGCCCATTTTAACCATGTGACCCAGCTGGTTGTACTAGATTCGAAAAGGGGTTTTAATCAGGACCCAAAGTGGACATCATCATAGAAGCCAGAGGCTCCCAGAAGTGTCCCCACAAGTCAGCCCAGGGCCCAGTCCTTTCCTACAGATTTTAGATGGTGTCTGTGGGACAAGGCCAATAGCTGAGCTGTGTCTTCATTGCTCAGGAGTTCACTGCACAGGAGCTGGTACTTGTAGCAGCCATGGTGGATTCAGTTCATCAACTGGGAAATAAATTAATACTTTGAATGAAGTCTCAGTGAAAAACTAGGGCTTTAGGAAAGGAGAAAATAAGATTTGTGTATAAAGTATAAGAAAATTTAAATGTGTATTAGTTGAACATATTTATGTTAATTTGTCCATGTTCAGAAATTTTAAAATATAGGTGTCAACCCAACATTTTATTCTCCAAATGTTTCCACCCTCTCCAATCTCTCTCTCTTCCTCTTTTTTTATTCTTTTTTCTCTTGTCTTATTGTAGTTAAGAAGTAGAAGAATAGAGAAAAAGAGAAACACGAAAAGAATGGTAAGATACCACTATTTGAGCTTCTAAATGAATCTCAATGCTCATCCACTGCTAACAAAATAAGATTGGACAAAAACGTATGTGGAGCTGGTGGATTTGATTTTGTACAGAAACATCTGAGATTTAATGGTATTGTACAGTGAGAGTCCCTGGCACCATCATTGATTGCTACTCAATGTCTGTTGAGCATTAATGAAACAGAACCGGGCAGGTTTAATATGGTATTCATACTGGAGATCTTGGATGACAGCATGTAATAGATCACTAGTGTATGTGTTGGGCAGGGTATCAGACAAAGGGAACAAACAAGAATTTCCTCTTGTGATCTTTCGGGGGTGGGGGGTGGAAATGAGAAGAAGAATGTGGAAGTTCTGGGGAATTATGTCTGACTTCAAACACCGGGAGCCCTAAGATCTGGCTGCTTCTCCTGCAGGAGTAGTTCCTTTGTCCAGTTGGTTGTATAGACAAATGTTTACAGTCCAACTTATTGCTAAATGTCTAAATTCTGATGAGAAGACTTTTTTCTTTCTGTGAACAGAGGGACTTGGATACATTTTTCTCTTTATCTTATAAGCTTCAGTGAAATCTAACTTTCAGAGTTATTGTTTCAGTAAAATCTAACTTTCAGAGTTATTACTCTTATTTTCTTAACATTCACAAACTGTTTCTTTAGGAATTTGTTATAGCAATTTAAGACAGACGTATTAGGAATCTAATTTAGTATCAAAGGTATTTAATTTCTACTAGTGGACAATGATGTCAGATATTTTTCTTATAAAATTAAAATTGGTATATTTTAGTAACATGATTGAATTTGATTATTTTCCATTTGCCTTTTCCTGCACTACAATTATATTTCTATAATTGTATTTCTCCCTCTCTGCCCACACAGTCTTGATTTTCCCAGGAATGTAAAAAATTTATCTAATTCACTATTTTGTGGGTCAGATCAAGAAGGAATAAGCTTAGTATTTTATATCTGCTAGAGACTGCAAAGGACTTTTAGTAAAAGCATGTGAAAGCTGTCTTCCCTTACATAAAAATTATGCTTAGAGATTAGAGAATACATGAATATGTAACAGAAAACAAAGCAACAAAAAATGAATAGTGAACATACCAGAGTAGTTGAGATAATATGAGGTAGGTGTGCAGGAGCTCTGTCCCGCCCCTGCT